GTTAAGAGTGTGAGCACTGAGCAAGAGGGTCACCTGTTCGATTCCCATATGGGCCAGTGAGCTGCGCCCGAGCTGAGCTGCTGCTGAGCTGCCAATACAAGTCAGGATGGCTCAGCTGGTGAGAGCACGTGCTCCTAACAAGGTTACCTGTTTGACTCCCGCATGGAATGGTGGGCTATGCCCACCGCACAACTAAGATTGAACATTGCACCTTGAGCTGAGCAGCTACAAGCTGCCGACGGGCGGCCAGATGGTGACTGGACTTGGAGCTGAGCTAGCTGCGCCCTCCACAACTAAGATTGAAGGACAACTTGGCTGGTCCCCTTCCCCAATTCCCCAATGAAATCTTAAAAAAAAAAAAAAGCAATCATCACCATAGTTTCTGAAGAGTTAGAACCTGCCCAATCTTAATCCACAGAGGGAATCAGTGTTAAGAGTTTGGAATTAACTATTTCAGCCTCTTTTTATGCCATGTACAGACCACAAAGAGTTCTGTGAAAAACGGCAATGTCACAGCTTAAGCCTTTAGAGAGAAGAGATTAATTGCACAATGGAAAATTGAGAGGAAAATACAACAACCTATGAAATTGATTTAGAAAATAATGGCTTGTTGGGAAAATAGCTGCAACAGATACCTAACAACGCTATCAAATTGGAATGGTTCAGAAGTGCTCCATCTTCAGGGCTTTCTGCTCCCTCCTCAGACACTATTATCCCTAGTGCTCAGCCAACATGTCCCCTTCAGGGATCCTGTGCCTTGTTGTTTTTAACTTTCCCACCATCTGAGATTATCAAGATTTCACCTCTAGTCTGGCTCTGAAATTCCATTCCATAATTCCAATTATCTGCAATATTTTGCCATCTAGATAGTATCCTCAAATAAGGATAATAATAGTACCTACCTCACAGGGATATTTTGAGGATTAAATGATAAAATTAATGTATGGACAGCATACAAAATAGTGTCTAGCTTATCAGAAGGTATTTCTCACAGATGGGAAAGATAAATAATAGTGGTTCACATCCACGGAGATGCAGGAGAGTGACTGGTAGCAAAGGACTTTCACACCAAGCTAAAAACCAAATGGCACCCAGGAGCAATGAGTGCACCTACTACCCGGATCTTGGTTTTTAATACCACTCTCTCAAATAAAAGGAGCCAAGGCTCCTGGGAGAAGGGGCTAATTCTAGGACTGAGGCTAAAAATATACAGGATGAGCCTGCAGTATCTAGTAGTACCAAAAAGTAAAAGTTTCAAAAGAATGAACCAACCACCCCCTACAACAAAACAATGGAGTATGTCAAAGGGATACAGGAGTCTACTACTGAAAGAGTTACCAATGGGCAAAGGTGGAAGAATTTGAGCAAAGTATAACAGTATTGGCTTATAATCTAAATATCCATGAGTGTATACTGCTTTAAGTAAATGATTAAATAAATAGGGGAGAAAAGAAGTTTCCATGCACAAGAATTCCAAATAATTAATGTAGATAGCCCTCACAGAGGGGGAGCATAACTCCACACTATTGAAGTATGGGCTGTGATAGTGATTTTGTTTCCAAAGAGTACAGCATGAAAAAGTAGAGGAAAAAAGGAGTAACTTTACATGGGAGAAACCTGACAAGCACTAGCTCAAGCCAGGTAATCTAGGTTAACATCAACAGTGATAAGTCATATTGATAGCATGTTCCCTTGATATGATGTGATGAGAGATGCTCTTTACCGCTGTGGTCCTCCTCTCCAACACACATTCCCCCAGCTAATGAGAAAAACATTAGACAAAATACAAATGAGGGACACTCTACAAAATATCTGATCAGTACTCCTCAAAACTTTTAAGGTCACTGAAATTAAGGAAATATCACAGCTATAGGAGCCTAAGGAGACTTAACTATTAAATATAATGTTGATATCCTGTATAGGATCCTGGAACAGTGGAGATTAGGAAAAAACTACGGAAGTCTGAATAAAATGTGGAATTTATTTAATAATAATGTACCAGTATTGTTCATTAATTGAGGCAAGTATACCACACTAATGTATGTTAACAACAGGGGAGTCTGGGTATGACCTAAGTGGGAATGTTCTATTCTCATCTTCACAATAATTCTTAAGTCTAAAACTGTTCTAAAACAAAACGTTTATTTAAAGACTCAAAGGGCATTTCATCTTTGGCAAAGGTGATGCTAAAAAATGAAAAAAGCTATTAATAGTTAAAAAGAGTTAATTCCTTGTGTTTTCTTAACAGCTATTAAAAAAAACAGTTGAGGAAAGCAGAAAAAACGGATCGTGGTCTTACCTGTTCTTTTTCAGTTTGGCTTCAGCTGACGGCATATTTTCTAAACAACTAGGACAATAATGGGAGTCCACCTAGAAAGAAACAAGAAATCAAAAAATTGGAAAAAAAGAAACTCAGTTTAGCTCATGTATATGTCCATGCCAAACAGTAAAATTTAAAATATACTGAAGCAGAAGGTGAGAAACTACTGATCTGGCAAAGAAGCTAAACTGTTTTCAGTTTAGGGTTTATTCCTTGGTCACCTGTTGTTTTTGTTTTGTTTTTTTTAACCATTCAGATTTTCTAAAAACCTTCCATTTTTCCTTTCTGATTTTTCCTGTCCCCTTTTATCAGGGTTTTATGCATTAGATGTGTTTAAATATTGCCTATGTAAAAGAAGAACTCTATGATAATCTAAAAAATAGATTAGTAAATAACCTAATTCGTAAAGCTGTGATCAAATATCCTTCTATCCAGTTTAGCTTTACTGGATTATAGCAACTTGACCACACTTAGAGAGACTTAAAGTTTTGTCATTACTGAAGTTATACAGGTTCACTGATGAACAGTATAATTAACATTCACAAAGTCAGCTACAGCCAACCAATTAAAGATTTTTAAATGACAAAGTAAACTACTAAGCTAACAAGATAGTCTTATTGTATTTAACTCAAAAACAGTATAAAAATTTAATTCATTGTATTAAGGTACGTATAATTGTTTTCTTAAATGTAGGTATTGGATCTTATTTGACAATTCTAGAACTCTAGTCACCTGCAGATGGAAAGACAAGTTCACTTGAACATAAATACAATGATAGAAACTGGCTTCTTTTTTCATCATCTGCTATAAACAGGGCCATCTTTGGAAAAATTAATAAAATTGCTGCTCAAATAATCTCCAGGAACATATAGTATTGCTAACAAATATTTGCACTAAGTCATTACAAAAGGCAAAATATAATTCATCCTTTTGTGCCCCCTTTCTGAGTTATGCTTGTCCCTTATTGTGTAGCTCCAATTCCAGGTTCTCCATTAGAACTATCTGGACTGCTCCAGCCCTCACTAGTCTCATCCTTCTTCGAACCCTAATGGCCTCCACCTCATAGGTACACATCAGTCTATAAAAGACGCAGTTACAGACTGAAGATCCTTAGAGATCATGAAGACTGCACTCCCTAATAACTACCAAATGAGAATTCTGAGGGTGGAGCTGGAACAGGGAAACATCTAAAAGAGAAAGGACCTGCCAAGGAGATACACAGGCACAATGTTAATGAAGAAAAATCAATGCCATTGACTATATACATGATTATGTACATTGGTTATATAATGAAAAACCAATACCATATTATAAATATATGGCACTGATTTTTCTTGGTATTATTTAAATGCTTTCCCTGACTCTTCTTAATATTGTGAGAAATATCCTCAATAAAATAATATGTAAAGTGGCTTATAGTATACAACATGTTTTTTCATATGCATTTTTAACAGTCCAGGGATCTTCAATGAAATTCTCTGAGTCAGGATGCTCATTTTCAAATCCTGGTCCTCCCTCTAACCTCCAAATTTCTGGACGTGTAACTTAGAGCAAACATTATGAATTTGTTTCTCTACCAGTAAAATGATTTTTTTTAAGGTATGCACTCCATTGGGGTGTAGGAAGATTAAAGATTATGTAAAGCATGTTGCATATAGAAAGTACTGAATAAACGGTATCTCTTATTACTATCAGCTTCTCCTTCATTAGGCTCAACAGCAGGATTCATGTCTTCTTCATCTTCTAATACCCAAAACTTACTGAATGAATGAGAGGTGGTCATGCGCTGCAGAAGTTTTGGGTTTGGTGATTTGGTGATTTTTTTTTCTTACGGGGTGGGGTCTTTTATGTTCTAAGCAATCCCACCACCAACGCCCATTTGTGCCTGGGGAGGACAACACCCTGCCCTCAAGGAGAAGCGTTATGAATGTAACCGTTTCAGCTTCTTACATGACTTGCCACTTTTCACTCAGCTCATCCCATCCCCACCTCTTCCCTGGTGCAGGCCTTGCCTTGAGCCAGGACACAGAGCAAGGCAGTCTGATGAGGGCCTACTTTCTAGCCAAAGAAGCGCAGAACTTCCAGGATGGGAGGGGCACGAAAGACAAGGCCGGCATCCACGCCACCCAAATCAATCCTGGAAAGACGGTCTCTCGTCCCTCAAGAGGAGCGCACTAAGTGCGCCCCCACCCTTTTTCTCCCCAACCCACCCTATTACCAAACCCCCTAAGGAGGCAACCAAGGTTCCCATAGTCAAGTTGGTCCAATCAGAGGGTGCTCTGGAACCAGAAGATCCGCTCAGCTCCACCCAAGGCCGCTCCAACTTTCCAAGTGACAAATTATAAGCAAATTAAAGCTCAAGCAAATCTGAGTGACGGAAGACACAGCCAATCAGCAAACCAGGAAAATGACTAGCCGCCTCCAACCTGCGGAATTTGCCCGCCCGTCGCGGTGACTAATATGAACGCCTCCCCCACCCCCAACACACATTTCGTGGGACGAGCGCGTTACCTCGTGAGACACACATTCCAGCGACCGCAGCTCGCTACAATAGCGGCAGAAGTAAAGCTGCGAGAGAGGGGCGCGAACCTTCTTTTCTCCCTGGACTAGGTAGAGAACCCGCTCGGATTGCAGCAAAGACGCCATCTTGGCGAGGGAGGAGTCAACGACACGCCTGCCGCATCACGTGACCCGAGAGCCAGCGTTTTCCTCCCCATCTTCCCTACGTATTTCAACGTAGACTTTGACGTAAGGCTTCCTACCTAGGGGGTTGTGCGCCGGGCAAAAGTCAAAGTGCGCATGCGTATCTGGAATTTCCTCTTTTTTTTTTTCCCTCCCCCTCACCATAGGCCCGCCCATGGCCTGTGTGGGACTAAGGCTTTTCAATCATTAAGTACATAATCACAGATAAAATCCAGATAGGTTCAGTTCAGTGCTCTCCTTTTCTTTGTTTCTTCCAGAAAGGAAGGCTGCTCTTTGTTTTATTTACGTCTGCCTCTCCTGGCCTCACTCTCCAGGCAAACATCCAGTAGGTAGATGGAAGATGGTCTCAGGAACAGTCTCATGGGAACTGGAAAGCTGAGAGGCACACTAACACTTTATTCTGACAGTCTTGCCACTGAACTGTAGGAAACTTTCACAGACGTTATCTCATTTGAAATTTCTTAGACTGTGAGTGCCTGCATGCAGATGCCATATTCATTTACAGGCTTCGAGTACTTGGCACTAAGGACCAAGTCTATACAATAGTCTCCCCTTATCTGCAGTTTCGCTTTCTTCAGTTCAGTCGCCTGCGGTCAACCACGGTCCAAAAATATTAAAGGGGAAATTACAGAAATAAGCAATTCATCCTAAGCAATTCATAAGTTTTAAATGTGTGCCATCCTGTACAGCGTGATGGAATCTTGTTTTGTCCTGTCCCACCCAGGAAATGAATAACTGTATCCACGCTGTGTACGCTACCCGCCTGTCAGTCACTTAATTGCTGTCTTGGCTATCAGGTCTACTGATATCGCAGTCGAGGTATTGCAGTGCTTGTGTTCACATAGCCCTTATTTTACTTAATAATGGCACCGAAGCGCAAGAGCAGTGATGCTGACAATTTGGATATGCCAAATAGAAGCCATTAAGTGCTTCCTTTAAGTGAAAAGTATGTATGTATAGGACAAAACATAGTATATATATATATATAGGGTTATGTACTATCTGTGGTTTCGGGCCTCCACAGGGATCTTGGAATGAATACCCCATGGATAAGAGAGGGCGACTGTATGGTGGGCTTTCAATAAGCATTGATTAATGAAGGACTGAAATTAATGAATGAACAATGTTATTAGGTGTCATTTAGGTTTTTCTAATGCATAAAATAAGGCTTAGATGTGTAAAATGACCAATTAGAACGGGCCTAACTGGGACTGGAGCCCATGTTACCTGCCACCAGTTCTATACTTTTCTCACTGTACTACATTACCTGTGTGACATTAGAGCTGGTGACTGAGAAGAAATGGAACTGAATAATATTAGCTAACATTTACTGAGCACTTGAGTGCAGCACACTGTGTCAAACCTTTACATACACTGTCTCATTCAATTTTCACAAAAACTCCAAAAGGCAAGTTTTATCATTATCTCTATTTTACAGCACATGAAACTGGGGCTCATAGAATTACAATTACTTGTTTAAGGTTTCATAAATATTATAACTCTGTTCTGTTTGACTCCACAGCTTGCATGCATTACTCCTATGCATACTGCCTTCAGCATATTTTCTTAATTTCTTTTTTCCAGTTTTACTGAGGTATAATTGACAATGAAAAAATTTATATATATTTAAGGTGTACACCTTGATGATTTGATATACATTGGGAAATAACACAATCAAGCTAATTAACATATCCATCACCTCACATAGTTACCATTTTCTTCCCTTTTTTGGTGAGAACGCTTAAGATTTAACCTTTTAGCAAATTTCAAGTATATAATACAGTATTGTTAACTATAGTCACATTGTTGTACATTAGCTCTCCAGAACTTATTTATCTTGCATAACTGAAACTTTGTACCCTTTTTTATTTTATTTTATTTTTTTAAATTACTTTTAGGTGTACAACACAGTAACTTTGTACCCTTTGACCAACAAACAGCTCTCCATTTCCTTCCTCCCCCGCCCTCCAGGCCTTAGCAACCACTATCTCTCTGCTTCCGTAGGTTTGACTTTTGAGATTCCATATATAAGTGAAATCATGCAGTATTTGTCTTTCTGAGTCTGACATATTTCACTTAGCATAATGCCCTTTAGGTTCATCCATGTTTTGCAAATGAAATTCCACTTCATTGCCAGTAACATAGTCCCCAATGTATATAGATAATGACTAACATGGGCCCTGGGCAGCAGCAAAGCACAGGAACTGGCAAGAAGACAGGCACTGGGAGCAGAGGGAGAAAGGGGGAATGCAGGACATCTGGCTTGGTTCCTGAGGCTTACAGTGCCAGCCTGCTTTAGTGGTGCTTGCAGGCTTTACAAAAACAGACAGCAGCTCTGGGTTGGAGTTTGCTGATGCCTGCTATAGCGACCTAGTGTAGTAGACTGAATGACTTAGAATTATCATGTACTCAAAAGATCCTAGTTCAATCCCTGTGTTTTTCAGATGGAGAAAATGAGGTCCAGAGGTGCAGCTGTTACCCAGTTGAGGTTCCAGAAAGTCAAAGGAACATACCCACAGGTTATCTCACTTCAGGTACCATATTCTGTTCTCTAATTCCATAAATGCAGTTTCCTGCACACCACTTCAGTTAATTCATATCCACACTCAAGTAAGAAACCGATTGCTCTTCTAACAACACTTAAAAAGAAAAGAAAGCAAATGCAAGGGAAAGTGGATGCTAATGGATAACTTATTTAATTTTGCCCTGGAAGTTTGCTGGAATTGCATGATACCCATTTGGGGCACACGAGTTTCACAGCCCTAGAATGCTCTCCCTTTGGCTTCAATGGGAATTTCTCAAAAATACCTCAAGCCTAACAAAAGCTTGTCCCCCTCACACTCCCTTCTTTGTGCTTGGAAGACTAACCGGAAGCTAATGTCAGTTTGGTGGCGCCATGGAACGAGCTTCCTCTGTGCTCTGCTGAGGATGCACCCACTACTTTCGGACAGAGGATGCACAAGGTGACATTGGGTTAACCACTACAGCTGTTACCCCATTGCTCTTTGTGTTTAAGAAAGACTTCTGGCCCCTAAACTGCTGGCTCATAAGAGAGAGCTCTGGGCCATGCACTCTCTATTCCAGTCATCTCTTCCTCCTGCATGTTTGCCCATTGGCATTCACAGCTGACTTAAGAGCTCTGAAGGAAGTGGGGAGCCACTGCAAGATTTCAAGCAAAGCAGTGACATGATTTGACAAGGGTCACTCCTGGACGCTGTTTTGGGAGTAGACTGTAGAGAAACAAGAACAGAGAAAGGGGATCAGTTTGGAGCTTATAGCAGTGATCCAGGCCTGAGATGACTGTGCCATGGACCAGGTATTCTGACTGTATTTTGAAGGTAGAGCCTGATGCCCAGCTCTGGGAAGCCATGCACATAGACTGCCATATGAAGGGTAATTTGGAGTCATGCACCAGGGAGGCCCTGTTGGGCCAGGAGCTAATCTATTTCATGGTTTGGCTGAATTCAGCTACTGGGAGTTTATTTCCTCAGAAATTATCAGGGCTATCTGTTTCTTCTCCCTGAGACGTCATGGAAAGAAGGAGATGAAGCTGACTTGTTGAGTCTCTAGTTTACTGTTTTCCAAATCACAAAGCATTCTGATTACCACACAGGAAAGCGTATTTCACAAGAGGCCCAGAGAAAGAGCCAGCCTGTTGCTAAACACATTAATCACATCTTCAGAGCGCCAGCTCAGGCTGAGAAGGAGAAGCTGATGTGGGAGAGAGCCCGGCTCATTTGGAATGGTGCCAAGGGTCCAAACAAACTTTGCCCGTTGCTGTAAAGGCAAAATGAGTTCATAAAAGTTAAAGTGGGTATAGAGCATAGAACATCGTAAATTGCTATGTAAGCTTTTGTTATTAGGCCACAGAGCTTAGTCCAATCTCCTCATTTGTAAGTGGGAAAACAGGTTCAGAGAGAGGAAGTGGTTTGTCTGAAGTTACACTGGTTCTCCAGCTTACTTAATGAGCACTAAGTTGATTCCTTTTAATATGTTTGGGTGATTGGGATTTCCAGTCCTGCCCACACTCCCATCTGTGCCTCTTGAGTGCCTCTTAATTCATTTCTGGGAAGTTCTTTTAGGCTGAGCTAGCTGTCGGTGTCTCATCTGAGAAGCTTTCTGCCCTCACAGGAAAGTTCAGTGGGATGTTTTGTTACTCTTGGGCCCCTGTAGAAGCCAGCCCCCAAATTAGCCCTCAGTGGTAGTCATACTCTTGTGTACTCCCCTTCCACGTCGTACCAGGGTTGGTCTGTGTGACCAATAGCGTACAACAGAAGTGGTGGTATGACGTTTCTAAAACTAGATTATATTAAAAAAAAAAAAGTCTATGGTTTCTCTGTTGGGTGCTCTCTTGTTGTTTGGAGTGATCACTTGGATCACTTGTTTGGGGAAAGGAAGCTGCCGTTTTGTGAGCAGCTCTATGACCATGTAGCAAGGAACTAAAGACTCCAGCCAACAGCCAGCGAGGACTGAGGTAACGACTAGTACACGAGTTTGGAAGTGGATTCTTCAGCTCCACTTAAGTATTGAGATGTGTACAGACCCAGCCTGCAGCCTGACTGCAATCTCATGAGACACCCTGAACTAGAACTACCTAGCTAAGTGGCCCCTGGACTCCTGACTCTCAGAAACTGTAAGATAATAAATGTTGTTTTTAAGCTGCTAAATTTTGAGAGACTTTGTTACACAGAAACAGATAACTAATATACCCACCTTCCCTTACGACCATCCTAACAGTTAGCCTTTGTTGCTCTGTGCACTTGTGTTTCCATCTCTGCCTCCTCCACCATCCTCGTCATTGCCTCGTGCACTCCCTATGTAGCCTTGTCACCAACTATCTGAGGCCAAATCCAGAAGTCATTAAACCTGCTGAATTATTCATGGTACCAAAAGGAGCAGATGGGAGGCTAAAATCAGAATTTGAGAGAAGCTTAATAAAGGGACCATTTGCAAAAGTGTAAGTGGGGTAGAAGGTAATCACAAGGAACACAGCAGTACCCCAGGGCTAGTGAAGGTGAAGTGCTGTTTATGGGCTGACGCCCGAAAAGGTAAAGGCTGGGAGCATTTCACTTCCTGGAACCCGGAGACAGAGAGCTGTGTGAAGAGGGCCCCATGACAGGAGTTGGACCTTTGGGTCCAGGACAGAGCCAGGCATTAGGAGACCCTGGGGTGGAAGGTAGAATGCAATATACCTCAGCTCCTGCAGGTGCTTCCCTCTTAGGGGAATCCGACAGCAGGCCAGACATCAAGGAAACCTTATTCAGTTTGGGTTTCTCAGAAGCAGACTATGGCACAAGGCTTTAAGGGAAAGTCTATTAAATGAAAAGTTTAAGTGAAAGTTTATTTGAGAGGTTCGGGGTATACCTGTACAGGAGTGAGTTAGTGATACCAGGACGAGAAGGTGGTCAATAAGATTGTGTTGTTAAGCCAGCTATACTATACTAGAGAGCGACCAGAGCTTAGGCCCACAGAGAAACTCTGGGAAACAATGTAAACACATGCCAAAGAATTATTCTACCAATGGGTGAGGGAGTTGGGGCATTTATGTCCCTACAGTCTGGTGGAGGGCCACTCCACAGGATGGGTTATTTCTTGGGTACTTTGGATTGCCAGGCTGGTAGACTGGCCTTCTGTGGGTTTGGGAAAAGCCCTCAGATACAAAGATGCAGGTATTGGCAGTGGGAAGTCTGGGGAGAACTGAAGTAGGTGAGGTCCAAGCGATTTGGGCAGGGCATTGACAGTGCTTGCTACAGGGCCCATTGATGTGGGCTAGATGTGGTGCAGATGTACCACCCCAGGCACAAAGCAAGATGGAGAGATGTGTGGAGGGTGAATCTAGGACAAATCAAACTTACACGCATTTGTAAAGTTGATAAGTAATATTTACCAATACTCTCTGAAATGTAATGTTACTGTTTAAATGTAAAAATTTACATACTGTAAAAATGGTTCAAAACCATTTTTCCTTTTGATTCTCATACTTACTGTGCTCTACCGTCTATCATAGTCATGCATCTAATGGTTTGCTTGTGCTTCTGCAGTTTGCATTGTGCACCAGCTAGGCAGGAATGACCCCATTTCATAGGGCAAAAGACAGGCACAGAGAGGACTTCACTCAGTAAGAGTCAGCTGGGTGTAGGACATTTAGAATCAGTTCTGCCACGTACCAGCTAGGTAATCTTAGCCAAGTTAACTTATTTTCTTTGGGCCTCTGTGTTCTCATGTGTAAAATGGGGGTTAATAGCATTTTCATTATAGAATTGTTGTAAGAACTAAATGGTATGATGTATACGAAACACTTGCTACATGGTAAGTGTTGAAGAAGTATTTTTTAAGTAAATAATCCTTTTGGGGGGGAAACAGCTAAGGGCTTTTATTATACGCATATATATTTTTTCTTAAGACCACATTTACCTCAAAAATTAGACTGACTAGACTGAAGATATCTACCAGTAATAAGCATTCTCTTCTCTCTCAGCTGCATGACTGTAATAATTGAACACTTTGGCATTAAACCATGAGAATTGATTCAAATGATTATAACCACATTAATGAGACCACATGACCATCACTCCACTTCAAAGCTACAGAGCAGAAATCTTCCTTCTCCTTTCATTCAACTCCCTTCTTTTCACTTTTGGGGTCAAAAGACCTAGGGAGGGGAAGGGACTCATTGAAGGTCACGTGGCCAACCTGTGGTAGAGCCAGGGCAAGAAGCCCCAGTTTAGTACAGCTTTGTGCCCTTTGCATTGTGCCCACGGTACACCCACTTCCCGCTGTCTCCCCAGCCCTCCCCCTTTCCTATAGAATTCTCTGCAACATCTCTCTGCTTGCATGCCTCCAGTGTTAGGGAGCTCATGACATCCCAAGGAAGCCCATTCTGTTCCTTTTTCCAGGCAGCTCTCTTCAGTTCTTACAGTGAGCTAAGATCTGCCTCTCTTCAACTGACACTCTGGTTCTCGGTCAGCTCTCAACTCAGCTCCCTCTGCCTCAGGATATACCTCAGAGGTTTGCTCAGAGTCCCCACGATCGACACAAGGGCCCCCATCTCTGGACCAAACAGTTTGGTTTCTTGCAATTCTGTCTTTCTTTCTGTCTGTTTTAGAAGCTGAGAGGAATTTTATCTTCTAGACATAATTACCTTCAAACTGTCGTGGCCAGAAGGGAACACAAATTGTATGTGTTAACTTGGCTGGGCCATGGTATCCAGATACCTGGTTAAACAGGTCTTGGTGTTGCTGTGAAGGTGTTTTTTAGATGAGATTGACATTTTAATAAGTAGGCTTTGAGTAAAGCAGATTACGCTCCATAATGTGGGTGGGCCTCATCCGATCAGTTGAAGGCCTTAAGAAAAAAGACTGATGACCCTTGATAAAGAGGGAATTCTGCCAGCAGATGGCCTTCGGACTCAAGCTGCAGCATCAACTCATCCCTGGGTATCCAGTCTGCTGGCTTGCCCTATGGATTTTGGAGTTGTCAGCCTCAACAATCATGTGAGCCAATTCTTTAAAATCAATCTCTGTCTATCTCTATC